ATCAATTAACGACAAAATAGTACAGCCTAGAATGGGCGGAAAGGTCCAAAGGTAAATGTAATAACAATAACAATTAACAACTACACTATCACATACGTGTTGCACATAGAAGTGTCACACATGACTGATTTAAACATAAATGTACTCACAATAGGTTTGTCATAAAAAGGGAAGTTCTGCATCTGCCGTACTGCATTGCTTGCGGCTGGCACATCACTGAACACAACCCATGCCTGCCCACGAAGCTTTGCAGTTTTCAACGCGACAATGTCCAAGATCCTCCCATACTGCGAGAACAAGGCATAAAGAGATCTCTTCAACTCTGTTCAAATTATTAAAGAAATGGAAGCATCAAAATCAGTATAAGAAAATTCATGAACCTTGAGCTATTGATCACCTACCAATGGCCTTCTAACGAGGCAACTATAATGATATATGTAATCCAGGTCTTTTGTAAAATGATTGTGCCGTATAATTAGTTATTTCTAAATTTATAAGATCATTAATGAAATTGTTGGACTTAATGTGGCGTGAGGACAAGATTTGCTATCATTTCAGAAAAAGCACACACAGTGTGAGTTGCGGGCTCAACAAAGTAAATTACATGGTTAGAAAAAAGTTAAGGAACCAAAGCAATATGATCCACCTCCGACTATATGGTACTGTCCCAGATAGATGGCATCCTTCAAAAGTAAAAATATCGGTCACTAATAGTGGAAGAAACAAACTATTTTAAACACAGACTCTGGGAGTTCACATATTATTACCACCCCAGGTTCAGCATGAAATTCATGATATCTTTAGTAAGAAGAAACTAGGAAGACGTATCCCGACTGAACTAAAACAGGCATTTAAGAAGATATTGTCATACTTTTGGTTCTACTTACATGAGGGATTGCATATAAAACGGAAGACAAAACTTAAGATACTTCAATAGCTTCATCAAGATACAGTTCAATCACAATCAACGACCATGAGACAAAAACAAAATAAGCTGGATTTATGACCTACAGAAAGTTTCATTTTTTTCCCGACATTAGTTGTGTTTGCAAGTACTGAACTAACCATCAGATACTGTTACACTTTTTCCAATAATATACAATGATGGATTAATTCTCTGCTGTTTTAGAACCATATACATATACTAAACTATCCATTGATGGCAAACCAAATAGGCATGTGAAAAAAAAAAAATTATAGATCAATAATGCCTATTTACACTTCGACACTGCTGCACAATTCATTGACTCGTTACTGTAGGAAATCTTGTTTCTAACAGTTACCACAGCAGATGTTGTAACTCACTCAGTTCATGATGACAACGATACTTCTGGAATACAATATAACCAGAAGCCAATAGCACATGAATTCTACATATACAGCTTACTATGTACGGCCAAAACAATGCTCATTACGGAGTAGTCAACAGCTTTAACAGGAAATACCACCCAGAAAAAACCCATAATGTCAAAAAGTCCAGCTCTACAAACAGAAAATAAGACAATGGCCGCACAACTCAACGAGGAACTTTACAGGGATTTGAGCACAAACCCTATGTCATATCTATGCAAAGAGGGGCGGGGAAAAAACCTTCTTTCTTGACTTTCTCGTTCAGATTCTTGATGTATATGGTCTGGTTTGGAGGTATATCGCTCGTAAGCATCTTCGCCGCCGCCAATCAGACACAATTCGCAACAAAGGATGGATATTCACAGTGTGCGAGTGCCCTAAATCAAAGAAAATGTAGAAGCACTTAAAAAAAATTCTGGCGGTATAAAAGCGAATAATATCAAGTGGGCTCACGAGCTAATGGGATCTCAAGTGGGCTCATCTAATCAAATAATATTTTACGTTTATGTTTATGTTAGTATATATTCAGTATATGTGCGCAGTTGGAATTCCTTAATTCCTTAATCCACGCACATGTCAGGGTGGTATATTTTTTGTTTATGTGAGTATATATTCAGTATATGTTGCAATGAAAAACATGTTTTCCATCAAAAAATTATGTCTTCCTTTTTTTTTTAACTTTTATACATAAAAGTATATATATAGTTTATAAACATAATATAACATGTTACTTAATATAAACCATACATATACATAACAAAAAAAAAATCAGTTTATGTTGAATATAAATTAATTTTATACATAAAAATTATGTCTCGCGATAAATTTATTTATCATGTACCGAAAATATACTAAATATAAACCATACATATACACAGAAAAAAAACTCGCGATAAATTTCTTTATCATATACCGAAAATATATTAATATAAACCATACATATACACAAAAAAAATCATTTATACTTTGTCAAATCATTTATACTATCGTCTAAAACTGAAGGAGATAAACATATACTGTACAGAAGGAGATCGACTTTCTTCAAAATTGAAGGAGATAAGCATTCACACTGTATTTAATTTTTTTTTCTTTTAATAGAATTGGGCATTTTACAAGTTGTATTACAGAAAAGTGTGCAGCTTGATTTGGAGCCATCGTCCCATCGTCACTTTAGTGCAAAAAGACAATCCAACTAAACCCATCGTCCCCCGCCCGCGCATCCACCATCTCCATCATTGACTGTCAAAAATCGATCTCGGAGCCGGCGGCTATGAAGAGCGTGGTTGAGCCACGGAGGTTCTGCGGCAGCAGGAAATCGATGATCCACACAGCTCGAACAGAAACGCCGCCTCTGAGGAGAATCATAATATTCCCCAGTTCTCGAACAGAAACGGTCGAAGTCAGATAAGGAAATAATGTCGCTTTCGCTACTCTCACCGGCGGAGGATGGCGTTTTGGAGGTTGGCTGTGAGTTGATGAGAGAAGGAAGAAGATGGAAGAATAAAAAAGATAAGAAAAGTGACGGGAAAGAAAAATGAGAAGATATGGGAGAGAGGTTACTACCATAAATATAGGAATATAATATTTTAGTAACTGATAAAGTTCCCTAAAATTGTGCTTTAGGTATCTTTGCAAATAAAGTTGATCAATTTAATTAATAAACAAATAAATACATATGGGTTGTAAGGATGTAAATAAAAACTTTAACTTTGGTGCAGAGTATAATTTTCTCAATAATAAATGCCCGGCCCGCTATCTGCACACAAAATTTTGCTATTTAAATTTTTAAACAAATAAAATTTTTATTTTAACAAAAACTGTGTAGACTCTCTCAATTGTCTGTAATTTATTTGCTTAACTATATGCCAACATCTACCCCTTCATTCCCTTGTTTACCTTTGGAGCATAACAGTAATTTCATATCCACTCAATTTTGATTATTTCCTTTTCGTATTAGATTTCTTCAAATTTTTTCTGTGATTTATAATCCGGCATATAAGTGAAGGCGAATATGTTTACATGTTGCTCACTGTAATAATAAAGTGTTGATATGTCCAAATTATGGTAGTGGGTTTATATGTGCAATGGTGCATTGCCTTCTTCAATATCCAAGAACAACAAAAAGTTTTTTTTTTTAAAAAAAAAAAAAGAAAGAAAAAGGAAAACTCAGTATTATGTTTGTGGTTGTATTTGCAAAAGGAGAAACTGCAAAAGTTACCATTGATACTTGGGCCATATTCGAACTTACAGTTACAATCCTCACTAGGGTTTTTTTATGTTGGACCACATACACGCACTCACCACTAGGGTGCGTGTTGATTTAATGGCAAAAACCCAAACATAGCACCGGTATGTACGAATTTTCCTGACTTTGGGAAGAACATACAAAGACCAAGAGCGATTTTGAAATTAACAAGTACATCTTCAACATCCATTCCATCTTAAAGTTTAACCTTCACACAGAAAAAAATAAATAAATAAAAAATTAAAAACTTCACAAATACAAAAAAAGTTACAATGATCACTATCAAACGTTAGTCTTGAACATTTTCCCATCCTTTAAGGGGTCATTTCAGTAATTACAAACTGGGGGAAAAAAAGGTGCATTAACAGAATTTCAGATTGATTAAATTCAGAATATGTCAATCTAGACAAACTTATTCTATATAGAGCATACTGATACAGTTCTCTAAAAATCACAAGCATTTGAGTAAAAAAAAAAACTCATTCTTTCCCCACACAAGGCTAAGTACGCCCCCTTCCAAGGCTTGTGATCAGAAAGTTCATATCCAAAGCTTTCTTCCATTAAAATATATAACAATGAGAGAAGCAACTATAGGGGGATCAGCAGATCCGGGAAATATGGTCACTCGAAACCGGCTCCTAGGTACGAAAATTTTCCCGATCCCTAGCTTGTACATGAGGCTAGTCTGTATCCAAATGAAGGATAATAATCACTTAGTCAGACATCAGAAATAACAGAGTAATGGACTAACACAAGCTCAAACAAACAAAGGAATTATAGGGTATGTTTGAAGAAATTTCTTATATTTATTGTGTTTATCTGTAATATTTTTTAAACAAGGGGTAAATAGGGATCACCATCTAATGAGGATATTTGCATCCACTTCGTTAAAAGGTTGCCAAAGGTATCAACATAAGAAAAATATTTCATATGCATATTCATTTCTTGATTCTTTTCATTCAAACATTGTGGGGTCGATGCTCAAAGCAACATTCAGCTAAACAATATCCAGAATTTCAGTTAACACTTCCAAATCAACTACTTCAACAAGATCGCAAAGTGATTCACTAGATACCAAAGTATAAAATGTTCCCACTATTTTACATGTATAGATGTATAGGACACCACTTGAGGAAAGAGAGAGAATTCCAACAAATTCGCATCTTGTTGACTAGAAAAATGGCTATTAACTTAAGGAATGGCATAAAATTGTGCTTACCTCAGCTACAATTGAATCGTCTTTATAAATGGTACATGCTCTCTTGAAAGGGCTCCCTTTCATGTGTAACTCGGTCTTTGAGTCATTGTTATATTCACCAGCAATTAATATTTTAAATTCAGTTCTTGTGTACTTATCTACGGTCTTGTTCACACGGAAAATCAAATCCTTGTCCTTGCAGTTTCCCTTAAAGGCCTGCCATGATCTTTTCTAATGGGAAAAAGAAACATTATGTTCAAAAATTTTTAAGAAAATGTATAAAACGTGAAACTCGTTATTTTTTTACACTCCAACATTATGCAATTGTTTCTTGTCAAACTGAAGTTCATATTCAGACAGAACACCGGGGAAGTTGCCTAAAGATGCACCTTAGAAATGATACAAAGCATAGTTTTAGAGTCGACTGTTCAAACAATTGACAAGCTTACGGGGGAAAATCAACATGTTCAGTCTGGAAACATATTCGTCCATAATCATAAACACAAACACGCACAGCTGGATATTCATGTACAAGCTGTGCAACCAATTTTTGTTTATAGTGTAAAAATATCTCCAGAACCATTACGCTCCTGACGTTAGATTGCAGCAAGGAATTTGAAACAGGCAAAATCGTATGCTAACATGATGTACATAACAGAATGAACCTAGTACAATTACTCTCATAACGAAATACAGATTAAAAATCGACAATTTTCAACCATTCCAAATTAAAGAACCGAGCAAGGAATTTGGAACAGACAAAACAGTATGCTAACATGATGTACATAACAGAATGACCCTAGTACAAATACCCTCATAACAAAATACACGCTAAAAATCGACAATTTTCCACCATTTCAAGTTCAAGAACTCATTCTTTTCAACGCCAAGAGTTAGCGCAGTAGTGACTGAACAACAGCCATAACAATGCCCACCACAGAAAACCAGCATCCCACTCAATCAACTTCAAACCAAAGTTTTCTTTTAACCATTCTTAAAACCAACCATGTAACCTTCTTCCAGGGCAATGTTCAAGAATCAATTAATAAAAAAACCATACCAAGCAGTAAAACAGGCAAGTGAAATCACATTAAACAATAGAGAGACTACGACTCACGCTAACTCGGTTGATTGAGAAAAGGGTATTGCCGGATGAATCCAAGAGTAACTTCACGCAGTGGCCATCGTCGTTACCAGCTGACTTTCGGGTCAATTTCTGAACAGAGTATACCAAATTACCCACTGAGTCAGTAAATCTGAGATTACCCAGCGGCCCAAGTCCCTCATATTTCTTGGACACAAAAAGGTCGAACGGGATTGGACAATTAGCTGGGTATGGGGTTTCGTCGGAGCTGATTGGGGAGTTTTCCGCCATTATATCATCGGAGACGATGATTGTGCTGGCCGGAAAACGGGAAAAAAAAGATGGGCTGTTAGCAAAAAAGTTCCTTCTAAACACAGAGAATAATGAAATTTAACTGGGAAAGACGAATATATAATCCAACATTCAGCTGTGTTCTTTTGGCACATGGTACTTGGTACGTCGCTTATTTCAAAAGCACAAATTTTTATTGGAAATTTATTTGGATGGGTAGGTCAAACCATTAGACGGTCAACTTATCAAAATTTTAAAATAAATCGATTTATCAAAATTTTAAAATAAATAAATACTTATGTGATGAAATTTCACACTTCTATTATGTTGTTATTCACACTGTTTTCAAAACTGGAACCAATTGGTTGGATCGAGAATCGGTCTGTTGATAGGTCCAGTTCGCAGGAATAAATTGATTGCTAGCGAATCGGGCAATAATTGGTTGAATCGGTCCATTGTTCTTTTAAAAAATATTAACAATATATTAAAAATATATATTTAAATATGATAAATTTGTATAATTTTGGTTTGACCATTGATAATGATCCTCCTTTTTCCTATCGTCGATTTACGGATGCCAATATTGCTTTTCACTTGATAGTTTGTCAAGATATAAGCGTCACCTTCTTCAATATCACCGATGATTTTTTGGATATTGACAGGTCGAATTATGCCAGTAATTGATCCTCCCTAAAATATTGCATAATGAATAATTTAATAAATAAATTATAAAAGATGTTGCATAAAATGATGCATTTAAATAATACTAAATGAATATATTATCTCAAAATCATGAAAGATAATCTCAAGAATATTTCGGTAATTGCGTACGTTTTCAACTCGTTGGAACATCCTAATTATGTGTAGCTTGATTGGTGGCTTATTAGATCTTTTGATATCCTTGATTACTCCAAAATCCGAAGCCATTTTCAATGGTGATGTAAAAGCTTGTAGAAAAAATTATTTAGTGGGATATATTGGACGTCGAATACTTTTTGTTCAACGCTGGTGGTGTTTATATAGTCATGTGTATGTGACATATGTCTCGGAAATAAAAAAAAAAAATATATTTACATAAGGTATTTAATATGATCCGATTCGTTTTTTTTTATTATTATGATTATAATTGACTTCTAAAAATATGTGTTATCGGTTTTGTTAAAAAAAAAAATGTGGAACGTGATTCACTTGTGAGGGACGAACGAATATTTAGAAGATTATGTAGCCAAAAATAATGGAGTTTGTTACAATGAAATTTGGTAAGACTTTTTGGATAGATTGAAAAATAATATTTTTATTTTTATATTTTTCTATTTATTTGGACAAATCCAAAACATTAATCTACGAAATTATAATCTTTAATTTTTTGAAACGTGTAAAATTTTCTAAGATAACTTCTATAAAACAAAATGTGATCAAATCATAATTGATTTTTATGCCACAATATTCCAAATCAAACCTTACAAATATGGTATGATTATTTACTATTAATATTTTATTTTTTCAAACGTCTGATTCTCTTAGGTTTATATGAAACAAAGTTCAATCAAATCAAAATTGATTTTTATGCCCACACTAAAACTTTATCAATATGATATGTTTATTTTATTTATTTATTTTTTTTCAAATCCACAACTCAAATTTTTGAGAGAGAAAAAAAAATCTTATCAAATTTTCGAGAGAGGAAAAAAAAAATTGGAAACAAAATCTTATCAAACCTTATCAATAATGAAGATACGTGTTTCCATGAAAAGCTAACAAAATCCCGTAGTTACCAAAATTCTATCAAATTAGTTAACAAAATCCCGTTAACAATATTGGAACGCATTTTGTTAGGAAAGATTTACGTAACTTATCTATTTAATTAATATCATATTAACGTGTGGGCCCAGTGATATTAATTTAGTATAGCATCCATATCTCGGAATAATTTTTTGTTTGATTTACAAAATTATTTGAATGAAAAAAAGAATCCGTAATTGTTGAAATATCTCAATTCAAAATCTCAATTTTTTGGCATAAGAATCTGTTTGTTACCAATAAAATTAGATTCATATGGGATTAATATTTAAAATGAATTAAATTTTGGTTTAAGAATCTCAAAATTTGTTACCATAAGAATCTTCAATTTGTTACCATAAGAAACCCATAAAAATTTCCTATGGATTGGAGTTTATCAATATTTAGTACAGCATCCATTATTCTCGGAATAATTTTTTGTTTGATTTATAACATGAATTTGAAGGGGAAAAAATCCGAAATTGTTATGATATCTCAATTCAAAATCTCAATTTTTTTGCATAAGAATCTCCAATTTGTTACCATAAGAATCCCATAGAAATCTACTATGGGATTGGAGTTTATCAATAGTTGGTATAACATCCATTATTTTTGGAATAATTTTTTGTTTGATTTACAACATTAATTTGAATGGAAAAAAAATCCATAATTGTTGGAATATCTCAATTCAAAATCTCAAATTTTTGGCATAACAATCTTCAAATTTGTTACCAATAAAAGTAGATTCTTATGGATTAATATTTAAAATGAATTAAATTTTGATTAGGAATCTCCAAATTTCTTACCATAAAAATCTCCAATTTTTTTGGATATCTCAATTAAATTTGTTACCATAAAAATCTCCAAATTTGTTACCATAAAAATCTCAATTTTTTTGGTACATGTGTTTTTTTCGAAATTTTTATTAATAGTAAGTCAAATCATTTATTTTTTTAGTCAAACTTACTATAAAAGTATTTTTCCAACAACCTCTTTATATTATTATAGATTTTCACTGATAGTAAGTCAAACCATTTATTTTTTTAGTCAAACTTACTATAAAATATTTTTTCAACCTCTTTTATATTAATACAGATGTGCAAATACACATGGTGAAATACAGTATAAATAATAAAACAAAAATTTTCCCTATGCCTACGGGCTACGGTTGGAGATGGCCTTTATGCCTACCCTCGTTCGGCTAGGATTTGTGCGCCCCACTCCAAATCTTCCCTACATATACAGAAGAAAAAATCAAAAATAAAACAAAGCTTTTCATCCTCGCTCGTTAGCAAGTTTCTTTAACTTGCTCATCATTCCTACCCTCATTCGGCTAGGATTTGTGCACCCCACTCCACATCTTCCCTACATATACGAAAGAAAATAACAAAAATAAAACAAAGCTTTCCATCCTCGCTCGTTAATTACTTCCCCCATATTATATCCGAACACACCTTCAT